AGCTGGCTTAATGTATGACATGTAAACATTAAAATACAGAAAAAAATAAAAATACATAAAAACCACTAGTATTATTGCGAACCAAATGAAACTTTTCCACAGAGTCATCTATTGTTCAATCTGTTAAACTTATGTGAGTTCTATTGTCCCATTGAATAATTACAATAGCTATTGCTCTCTGTGTAGTTTATTCACTGGGACCTTTAAATTTCTTCTAGGAGAAATCCATCACTCATTGATTAATTTACCTGATTAAAAAAATTATCTTCTAAAAAATTAAAATACAAGTTTTAACTCACAAAATTGCATGTGATGTTGCATTTATTCAATATCAATAATATGTTTTCAATCTGTTCAATATAAACAGTAATTTAATAAAATACTCCGCTGGGCGCAGCTTGATACGACCGCAGAGGTCGAACCCTGAACAGTTGGGGCAAGTATGGACACAACATTCAAGCTTGATACAGCACTGAATTTGGATTCTGATTAAATATTTGACACAGCATAGGTTTCTGACACAGAATGAATTTGGTCTAAGAACTTCAAAAATTTTAATTTACCTATTCAAACCATATCATTATTATTTGCTTTTATATATAAATCAGAAATAACCAATTTAAAAACGGAAAATTTTAAAGAAAAAAAAAGGAAAAAAAAATCCCTCCCCCAAATTTTTTGAACCCCCTTATGATTCATCACCCCCAAACTCAATCCCAACCTTCCCTTTGTGGTATGGTACCTTGCAGTACAATTTCAGAGAGATCAATACACTTGAACACAAGTTATTGTCTGGAAACTTGAAAAATGCTTGTTTTTAGCCCCTTTTTGGCCCCAAATTCCTAAACGCTTAGGGCAATTACCCCCAAACTCAAACCCAGCTTTCCCTTTGTGATATGGAACCTTGAAGTACAATTTCAGAGAGATCCATACACTTACACACAAGTTATTGTTATGAAACTAGAAAAATGCTTGTTTTTTGCCCCTTTTTTGGCCCCTAATTCCTAAAATTTTGAGGCAATTACCCCCAAAATCAATCCCAACCTTCCCTTTGTGGTATGGTACCTTGCAGTACAATTTCAGAGAGATCCATACACTTGAACACAAGTTATTGTCTGGAAACTAGAAAAATGCTTATTTTTGGCCCCTTTTTGGCCCCTTAGTCCTAAATGTTTTGGGCAATTACCCCCAAACTCAATTCCAGCTTTCCCTTTGTGATATGGAACCTTGTAGCACAATTTCAGAAAGATCCATACACTTACACACAAGTTATTATCATGAAACTAGAAAAATGCTTGTTTTTTGCCCCTTCTTTGGCCCCTAATTCCTAAAATTTTGAGGCAATTACCCCCAAAATCAATCCCAGCATTTCCTTTGTGATATGGAACCTTGTGGTACAATGTCAGAGAGATCCATACACTAACACACAAGTTATGTCTGGAAGTTACAAAAATGTATATTTTTGGCCCCTTTTTGGCCCCTAATTCCTTAACTGTTGGTACCATAACCCCCAAAATCAATCCCTACCTTCCTTTTGTGGTATTGAACCTTATGGTAAAATTTCATAGAGATCCATTCACTTAAACTAAAGTTAGAGTGCGAAAACCAATGTGTCTTCGGACGACGACCACGACATACCAATATACGACCACAAAATTTGTTTGCGGTCGTATAAAAATTAAAAGTTGATTTTCTGACAAAATTTTCAACATTGTTCCTATTGAATTTTGTTTTGTTTTTTGAATTTGACAAATAAAAACTGGAAAATGACAATGTTTAAGTTAAGGCCTTCTTAAATGTATTCTATAACTAAACAAAAACCAAAAATGCAAATTTCAATAGGAATAATGCTAAAAATTTTGTCAGAAATCAACTTTTTTTTTTTTAAAGAACAATAGCTATTGTATTCATTCAATGGGACAATAGAACACACAAAATTTTAAATAGATTGAACAATAGGAGATGAATCTGTGAAAAAGTTTCATTTGGTTCTTAATAAATGTGTATTTACAAGCAGTGTCAGTCCAAACCAAAACAACTGTATGCAATGTTTGTACAGTTTACTTCTGTTTTTTTTACACTTAACATGTATTTATAGGCAAACATTTTACTTCTGTATTTTACACTTAACATATATTTATAGGTTAAGTTTTAAAATACAATTTTACACCAAAATAAACTGAAGTGACACAAAAATAAAATAAATTGTATTATAGTATACATGTCTGTGTGGTGATAATATCTAAGTCAAGGTCAGGAAACCCTATGATTAAGATGTTATGCAGTTTGGAGTGATGGTTTGGGAAAGATAAATTTGGCTTTGATATTGGCATCACTCAACATTGTTACTCAAAGGAACAAACTATGAAGTGTGATCCATATCAAGAATGGTAAATGATTATATATACAGTTATTGATGATATAATCTGTTTTACTGTGATCTTGATTATTGAACATAACACAAAACTGTGGTCTCAATTTGAGGTTAAGGTACACCTTAGATAAGCTGCAACTTTATATCAATCTTTAGTATATTTTCCAATACTTTATGGATTTATCTAAATATAATTTTTACAGTAATCAAAAGAAACAACCAAGTATTCCTATATTTTTTTCTTTATTAAAGAAGCCATATAAACAACTACAATCTTGGTTACCTTGGTATGTAACTTATGTTTTTAAAACAATATAAAAATAAAATGCTACGCTGGGCGCAGCTTGATACGACCGCAGAGGTCGAACCCTGAACAGTTGGGGCAAGTATGGACACAACATTCAAGCTTGATACAGCACTGAATTTGGATTGTGATTAAATATTTGACACAGCATAGGTTTCTGACACAGAATGAATGTGGTCTAAGAACTTAAAGTTTTTTAATTTACCTATTCAAACCATATCATTATTATTTGCTTTTATATATAAATCAGAAATAACCAATTTAAATGGAACCCCCCCCCCCCCCCCCCAAATTTTTAGAACCCCCTTATGATTCATCACCCCCAAACTCCATCCCAGCCTTCCCTTTGTGGTATAGTACCTTGCAGTACAATTTCAGAGAGATCCATACACTTGAACACAAGTTATTGTCTGGAAACTAGAAAAATGCTTGTTTTTTTGGCCCCTTTTTGGCCTCAAATTCCTAAACATTTAGGGCAATTACCCCTTAACTCAAACCCAGCTTTCCCTTTGAGATATGGAACCTTGTAGTACAATTTCATAAAGATCCATACACTTACACACAAGTAATTGTCCGGAAACTAGAAAAATGCTTGTTTTTTGCCCCTTTTTGACCCCTAATTCCTAAAATGATGAGGCAATTACCCCCAAAATCAATCCCAGCCTTCCCTTTGTGGTATGGTACCTTGCAGTACAATTTCAGAGAGATCCATAGACTTGAACACAAGTTATTGTCTGGAAACTAGAAAAATGCTTATTTTTGGCCCCTTTTTGGCCCCTTATTCCTAAACGTTTAAGGCAATTACCCCCAAACTCAATTCCAGCTTTCCCTTTGTGATATGGAACCTTGTAGTACAATTTCAGAAAGATCTATACACTTACACACAAGTTATTGTCATGAAACTAGAAAAATGCTTGTTTTTTGCCCCTTTTTTGGCCCCTAATTCCTAAATTTTTGAGGCAATTCACCCCAAAATCAATCCCAGCATTCCCTTTGTGATATGGAACCTTGTGGTACAATGTCAGAGAGATCCATACACTAACACACAAGTTATGTCTGGAAGTTACAAAAATGCTTATTTTTGGCCCTTTTTTGGCCCCTAATTCCTTAACTGTTGGTACCATAACCCCCAAAATCAATCCCAACCTTCCTTTTGTGGTATTGAACCTTATGGTAAAATTTCATAGAGATCCATTCACTTAAACTAAAGTTAGAGTGCGAAAACCAATGTGTCTTCAGACGACGACGACGATGACGACGACGCCAATGTCATACCAATATACGAACGCAAAATTTTTTTGCGGTCGTATAATAATAAGATGTGGTATGATTGCCAATGAGACAACTCTCCACCAGAGATCAAATGACATATAAGTTTACAACTATAGGTCACTGTACGGCCTTTAACAATGAGCAAAACCCATACCGCATAGTCGGTTATAAAAAGGTTAGTTTTGGCATTTTAGATTTATGTCTTAGGACAGATAAATCTGATAAACATACAAATAACATGAAATGAGATCCCTGCTAGATAATGTGGTTACCAGAAGTTACATTACTATCATGGTACAAATGGCATCATTTGGTAAAGAAAGTGAATGAAAGTCAACTTCAATAGGTTCCATACCATTTTAATGTTTTCTCTGCCAAAGGCACTTTTACACTGTGTCCCAAACTCAGATTGATTGATTTGATTTTTGGTCTTTTAACGCCACTTTTAAGCACCGCTTTTGGGCTATTTCGTGGCGGCCAGTTTTTATTGGTGGAGGAAGCCGGAGTGCCTGGAGAAAACCACAGACCTTCGATAGGAAAACTGACAATCCTAGTCAATTAAGATTGGAGTCGAGTGCACCTGCACGAGCGGGGTTCGAACTCACAACCTCAGTGTTGACTGGCTAGTGATTACAGTAGTAACTACTTAGACCACTCGGCCACCGAGGCCCCCCCCCCCCAAACTCGGAGAAGAGACTCCTACAAATGTGGTTGGAAAATTTTTAGTGTTGCATAAGTATGGTGTTAATTTTTTAAGCACTTTCATTTTCCAGGTGGGTTGTGTTGCTCATTTGATGTTCCTTTTTCTCAGTGGTTTAATCAGCTGTTTCTCAAAGAAGGATACTCATCTTCAGCTATTTTTAATTACAATCGTAGTATGCACCCAGAGATTAAAGTAAATATTAATTACCATTGAATGGTGGGGATTCCTCACACCGAACTCCAATATTTTCATTCATTAGAAATCTATAACTGGGTATAACCAGAAATGCCTAAAATGATTGAAGAGAAGTATACTTTGCCTTTAACATTTCGATTTATGAGTATTACCGTGAATTTGTCTGCAGCAGTAAAGTCCTCATCAAGGAATACTCTAGCTCTATCATACTTCTGCAGTTCTTCACAGCTCAACATGGCTCTGAAAATTATAACAAATAGGGCAATTAACCTTCAATGCATACCAATTACAGAAAATACCGCAGCCATCATAGAGAACACTTAGAATACTTCATCAAATCCTGACTACTCCATAAAAACCTCTGCAGTGTTCTCCCTAAAGGCATGCTATCTGAATAGATTTTTGAATAGAATACATTGTAAATGCGGTGCTAGAATTTTAAGGAAACAGTGCTATTTCAAATCCCACGTGTAATTTGAAAATATTGGCGAGAACACTGTTTTGGTCACAATAACTATCTGTAGCTACTGATATTAACCTGCTGAACTGTGGAAGTATTAGCTTTTGTGAATTATTACTGATTTCCATTTATGCAATACTAAAATAGAAATATCTTAATATGTTGACTTTAAAGAGGTTACAATAGATCAAGGTCATTGTATACCCCGTAGGGACTTGACTGATTTCATTTGAAAGTGTTTGTACTGTCAGGACTATGTAAGTCATTCACCATTTATTCCCATTTATACTGTAACTGTGCTATTTGCATAATCAAAATGCACTGACATTATATCTATTTGTGATATGCAGTGACTGACCATATATCTGTTGTGTGTGATGTTGGTAATATGCTTCTGTGGAGTTTTTCATTATACCATCAATAAAGAATATAGATTCACTGAATTTTTACGTCTTTAAATTCAAAATTGCTGGTTTATACCCAAAATAATTCATTAAGAACTGTTGTAAGAGTTGCAGTATACAGAGAACAACTATGCATTGTCTAGAAATTTAAAACTTATCTGTACCCTGCTGGTAATAGGATATAAATACTCGACAAAGACACTCATTCTACCTGTGTCTAAGCCTTGTACAAATAATTATCTTATATTTGGAGATAATGTATAGTTATTCTATATGTTTATAGCTAGCAAATACATAACATGTTTGATTTTTTACAATATACCATGGTGTTTAGTAGATTTGCTATTCCCTATTCTTGGCATACAGTAAAACAATCATCACAATAAGGGTGAAGCATGAAATAGGTGGCAGCAAGAGATTCCTGTATGTTTCCCCCATACTAAATTTGCCTGGGTAACATGAAGATTTCTTGTCGTAAGTATACACATTTATTTTCATAAATAAGTTCAGTGAAATTGGATTTTAACCTGAGGTATGCACTACTATACAAAAAACAAATCATCTAAATTTAATCTATAGAAAGTCATTTGTGGCTAACATTTGCTATAATTCAACTATAATGAATTTTTGTACAATGAAAATTTCAACACTGAGTTCACATTTGAAAACATCATTTGCAATATTGATCAAGATCATTGACCTACCACATTCTTCAAGCAACATAGTAGCAAAACTGATTAAAATAAGTAATTCAAGAAATTTTTGGTCAGCATTTTCACTTTGATTATTGCTGCAGACATGTAATGTTATGGGCATTAAACCTAGACCCCTTTTACACTAGCAAAAAAGATTTTGATCTGTCCAGAGATCGATCTATGGATCTTTAGTCAAATGTAAACAAGAAAGATCGATCATCAATCTACCTCCAGAGGTGGTTTTAAAAAGGTTGATTTTTTTTTAATCAATCTTTCTTCAAGTGTACACGCTTAGATGGATCCCGATTGGTCCTTCTTAAGGTTAAAGTGTTATATTAAGATATGTAAATAAATCTGAGCATGTACAGTTTGGGATATCCTTATTCATGTCTGCCTCTTGAGGTTTCATCAATATTTCCCTATTGACAGAACTATCTGTTGCAAGGCAGAACATTGGAAAAATTTACAGCTTAAGTTGGTTTTAAGTTAACACAAGAGTGCACACACTGAAATGTCTCGCCTGCTTTACTGATCATTGATTTTATGTTGATAGTCCTAAATATAAAGCTTTACTACAAGTATCACATAAACTTAACATGATCCAAGAAAATGAGGCCAAGGTCATATAAACAAAACCGGAAATACATGTACACCTTAAGTACAATCATAATACATACACAAAATATAGTTGACCTATTGCTTATAGTTTCTAAGAAACAAACTTAACCAGGAAATTTTAACATTAACCAATGAAACATGAAAAAGAGGTCAAGGTCAGATGATACCTGCCAGACAGACATATGCACCTTACAATCATTCAATACACCAAACGTAGTTGACCTATTGCTTATAGTTTAAGAAAAACAGACCAAAACACAAAAACTTAACTTTAACCACTGAAACATGAAAATGTGGTCAAGGTCAGATGACACCTGCCAGTTGGACATGTACAACTTACAATCATTCAATACACCAAATATAGTAGACCTATTGCTTAAAGTATCTGATGTATGGACTTGACCACGAAAACTTAACCTTGTTCACTGATCCATGAAATGAGGCCATGGTCAGATGAAAACTGTCTGACAGGAATGAGGACCTTGCAAGGTAAGCACATACTAAATATAGTTATCCTATTACTCATAATAAGAGAGAAATTAACATTACGAAACATCTTAACTTTTTTCCAAGTAGTCACTGAACCATGAAAATGAGGTCAAGGACAATGGACATAGGACAGACGGAAACTTCATAACATAAGGCATCTATATACAAATTATGAAGAATCCAGGTCTTCCACCTTCTAAAATATAAAGCTTTTAAGTAGTTAGTTAACGCCGCCGCCGCTGACTGAGCTTTCTGCGACAGAAGTTGCAGGCTCGACATAAAATTCAAACATTTTCTGTTTAGTATTTACAATAACTTTTAAATTTGTTTTCTGCAATTCTTTCACCTTTTCACTGAATAACTTTATAACAATAAAGAGGATTTCAATATTTTGCACTGTCAACTTCCTATATCCATGTAGCAACATTCCAGTATACATCTCCAAGTCATTAAGATATATCCAAGAGTTACATTATCTATTAGGAATTCCTTGATAAATAATTGCTGCTTACAAGGAAGCTATTGACAAAGGATTCTTAATGATAAAGTTGAAGTCATCTTTTTGAAAGTTTTATTGCAACTATCATTATTTTTAATTAAACATCAAGGAAAATATGTGTCACAAAGGACCACTGATATGTTCCTCGTGTTGGAGCCACAATTCCATCTTCCTTTCATTCTTTGATACTGAGACATAACACCAGTTTATTACTTGTAATTGTGGTGCCATTTGTGGAGCAGGAACTATAGTTGCTAACATCTACATCTACTCTCTGGTGGATCATTGTCTCATTGGCAATCATACCACACCTTATATATGTATAAATATACAATCAAATAAATACACAATATCCCTTGTTTTCTATTCAAATGATTACATTGCAATATGTCTCTTTGAATAAATATACAAATATAATTATATTCCAATTTTAAACCCACAAATCTAATATTGTAAATCTCATATCCAAACATATTCTGAGGTAACAAAAACAAGTGACATCAGCCTTACACAATTAACAATATTCATTCTTACAATTACTTAATCTTTTGAATCCATTGTAATTACACATGTACAGCACATATACTTAGGTGTTTAAAAAAACAATTACAAGTCAGTTACAAACCATGAATTCATTATTAACTATATATTTAAACAATGGCACACTTTTTAAAAGTTTTGGACAGAATAGCCATAAGCGGTCTGGACACAAATAGGCTTTTCAGTCAATTTCTTGTTTTGATGGAATAGCAATAGTGTCTTGTTAGCTAAAATAGAGGGACTCTGTGCTCCACTTTCTTCAGGTTGGACACCCCTGTCCATTATGTTTTAAGAGTGCCATTGTTTCCTTTAGAATTGCCAAAAGTCCAATTGAGGTGAGGTTTTTATCCATTCAATCATGTCACTGACTATTGGCTTTGAACTTTTCACTTAACTGATGAATCTTTTTATTTATTCTGAACTAATTAAGTTTGATCATTATGATAAATGTTGATAATTTAATGAACTATTAATTATTTAGACAGCTAAAGAATGATAATAAATTGATTGCATATTAGAAGTGACAGGCAATCCATGCTGTTCATTCACCAAAGTGTTTTCATTCACCTAAGAGTTAGACAGATAACCATGCTGTTTTGGAGGAATTTGTTTTTATAAAACATGTTAGACCGCCGCATTTTTGCGCCTGTCCCAAGTCAGGAGCCTCTAGCCTTTGTTAGTCTTGTATTATTTTTAATTTTAGTTTCTTGTGTACAATTTGGAGTTTAGTATGGCGTTCATTATCACTGAACTAGTATATATATTTGTTTAGGGGCCAGCTGAAGGACGCCTCCGGGTGCGGGAATTTCTCGCTGCATTGAAGACCTGTTGGTGGCCTTCTGCTGTTGTCTGTTCTGTGGTCGGGTTGTTGTCTCTTTGACACATTCCCCATTTCCATTCTCAATTTTAGAGTAATTCTAAACTTTTCTCTATTCATTACATAAAATATTATAACTTCATACAAGATGAAAATTAATCTAGAATTATCTGCTCACGTTCTAACAATTTAACAACAAAATGAATATCTTAAGTGTTTTTGACAATCAAAATATTTGTTTTTGTTCTATTGTAATTTATTTTGTACTCAGTTCCCTAAAATGTAATGACTCTTTAGATGCAATACTCATCAACTTGAAAGCACTGAACATGCTGAAGGTTATTAATCATAATGCATTAATCTTCCAACTTAACTTAAAAGAATAAAAATTGAAGAATAAATAGACAATCTTTTTCATATGGATTGTCTTAGGTGCTGTGAAGCACATGTAGCCAAAATCAAATAGACATAAAAATAATAAAGAAACAGAAAAAACCTTTATCTTTAGTAAAAACAAATTAATAGCAGCACAAAACTTGGATCAGTTACAACTTAATAAACTATTAATATGCTGCAAAGTCTCCAGATAGACTATACAAGCAAATGATCTAATGAACTGATTCCAAACTAAACAATCCAGTTTAACAAGCTGCTAGACAACTAATTTAGAAATGGACAAGTCTGTACTCATTAACTGATGATGAAATCAAACATCTGC